TTCCCTCAGTGGTCGACTCCTGAGACACCCCATCCTCAGATCTCTGTCTTCGAGATAACTCACCATGTTGCCTTGGCGGTGACTGATCGGAATCACGTCTCCTTCTCATGGAGTGGGCTTGTGAGTCATCTGAAAAGGTATGTTACTGAAGGCATGTCAGTACCCTGTGCGGCCATCAACTTACTGTATTTTCTGGGAGGCGATCTATCAGCACTACGGCGCCGTTCCTTCCGTGATGACATTTCTGGAAAGTGAGTTGTGGAACCAAGCACTCCACGCCAGGAAGTAATAAAAGCTTACCATGCTGTGGAGATCTCGAGCTATGCCGTTTTTTCAAAGCGCTCGGTTCAGGACCACCTACAAAGATGCAATTAAGGTCTTAACAAGGTGAGACGGTGAGTTCACGAGGGACGATTAGAAGCAAAGAAAAACAATATTGGGAAAAGAATACACTTCAAATCACAGATGGTCCGTTTCGCCTCTTATCCCAGACGGATCATCACTGTCTCGCCAACCCCGAGGCAAAACTGATGAGACCAAACCGAAACGATTGTCTCAGGAAGCACAAACGCTCCAAGCAGGAGAAGGAAGATAGAGAAAAGGTCCAAAACGTTATCGTATTGAGAGTGAAATGTAACCTACGTTTCCTTGGAGGAGAAAAGAGAAAAGGTCAAAAACGTTATCGTATTGAGAGTGAAATGTAACCTACGTTTCCTTGGAGGAGAAACGTCGGCATCAGAGTCGTGACGGCCCTTCGCTGTAAAAAATCTCCATAATGATTGAGTAGGTTAGCAATTCAAAGAAGAACACGACGGACAAAGACTACAGTACTGATAAGTAAAAAATAAAAGATGCTTCTTAACACACCTTTTCTTGGTGGAGAAATATCGGAGTCGGAGTCGTGCCGTCCCTTTCCTGTAATAAGATGCACATGCATGCGGTCACTTAGACAACGTTAAGACTCCAGTTCGCGGGAATTAAATCGCGCGATCGCGAAGTCTCAACACGCTCTTACTGTTAGGCAGCGTTCAGACTTCGCGACGGACAGCGCTTCGGTCGCGCGTTCGACGCGATCGATGCAGTCGAAAGCATGCGCATCGATCGCGTTGAACGCGCGACCGAAGCGCTGCCGTCGCGAAGTCTGAACGCTGCCTTAGGCTTATATTTGAAAAATGCGACAGGTAAAGGCTGATGCACGAAAAATGATACGCACAAATTATTCAAGTTACCTTTTCTTGGAGGAGAAATGTCGGAGTCGGAGTCGTGACGTCCCTTGGCTGTAAAGAAACCCTTGAATGGCCTTGCAGATCAGTACTCAGTGTGGAACACTCGAAACTACACCAACAGTAAGAGTGCGTTCATTCGCAGCGTCAGTGTTTCAACGTCGGAGCATTTTGAGCGTACGC